TTGGTCTTCTAATATTTATCGTCCCTTTTAATAATCATTGCTTGATTTTTGAATTCAATGACGATTTCTTCTAATTGATATGGTGGAGTTTATTTCTGAGGAATTTTATATTTAATTATTTTATAACTCGCAATATGGATTTCCAAAGATATTTCTTATAGTTATTGAATAGTTTACAAAAATTCTTTTTATTCTATCTAAAACTAATGTATGTATTTAAAAGTTAATGTTACCATGGTGTTAACCATACATACTACGATGGAAAATAATGTATCTAAGAATTGCCAAAATTTGTTTAAAAGTTCGCTAACAACTCTGGCATTATGTGCTGGTGCTCCATCATGTTGAGTGTCAAAGTATAACAAAACTGAATAAAGCTTTACAATACATTTCGAAAATTATGAAAAATGTAACCTGATGGAATGCTATATGTTACCAGATAAGAATGCGATGTTAGCTGCGGAATTATATTTTACAAGGTATCCGGAAAGAAGACAACCACATGTAAGATCCTTCAGCCGGTTAGCAGAAAATTTTATAGATTTTTGATCCTTCACGAAACCACGTGCAAAAACACCAAAATGACCTGCAGGAGGATGAAGTCAATGTGTTGGCTTCACTTGCCATAAATCCATCAACATCTTGCGGAGAAATTGAACAAGACGTCTGACCCAAAAGCCGCTGCTCCTGAATATTAAAGAAAAATAAGTATAAACCATACAGAGAGCGGGTAAATCATCATTTACGTGCCGGAGATGCTAATCTAACACAGTCGCTACACAGCTCCAACAGCTGGATTCGAGGAATACACCTATTCCACTGTTCGCAGTGTTGAAGCTAAGATGAATAATCGTGATGCTACCTTTTCCAAAATTCTTGTATCATTCTTTGTAGCAATTTCCAACGGTTTAGGCGATTAATTGGAACCTTAATAAAATCGGGATTTAAAACAGAACATGTTATTCGTTCTAAACACAAAAAATGTGCTGGAGTCAAGCGTTGTAAATCGTTAGGATCACTAGTGAGCAGTGATGGGTGCTGGGTAAATACCCGGTGGGTAAGTATTTATAAAATGGGTAGTTATTCGGGTATTTACCCTGGGCCTAGGTAAATACCCAAACAGTACGTATAAAAGTGATACAAGTAAAAATATAACAGATTCGGAAAACAATGAAGAGCAAGATGATGAAATGAACGTAGAAGACGAGGAATTGTTAACAATCGAAGACGTATTATCATCAGACGAATCTGTCGTAATTTAGATTACATGAAGTTATTATGATAAATTTGTTTATTTTTTTCTAGTGCTCTTTGTACTAAAACCAAAGGACTGTTTTTAATTTTTATCATCATCATCATCATCAAGCACCCCTTTGCGTCCATTGTTGGACATAGGCCTCCCCTATTCTGTTCCATTCGTTTCTATTCTGTGCTATCTGAATCCAATTGCTGGTCATTCTTTTGATGTTGTCCGTCCAGTGTTGGCGGTCTTTCTCTACTTCGTCTCTCCGCTTGCGGTCTTCACTCAAGCAACCGTTTACGGTTACGTTTACCGCTACACCAGTTCTTCTTCGTAGGTCTTCATTTCGTATGTAGTCCCTCAGGGTTACACCCAGCATCGACCTCTCCATCTTTTTTTGCGTTACTTTGAGCCTCCTGGCAGTGGCACCGTTAACGTTAAAGTTTCGGAGCAGTATGTCATAACCGGAAGCACGCATTGAAGATGTCTCTAAGTTTCCCGTAGGCTACCCATGTGACCCATGTGATGCTTCGGTTTAGTTCGCTTGCTTGATTATCTCTCGGTACACGAACTTCATGGCTAAGATATATACAGGTGTATCTGAATGACTGCAACAAACTTCAAGGAGTGGTTCTTTAGTGAATCTTAAGGGTACTTTGATATATGAACCATGGGCGACTTCGGCGTCCCTAAGGAGCTACACCCCTCCAAAAATGGCGGATAATTTTGATTTAATTTTTTTTTTTCACAAACCATAAACTCTAGGAAAATGAAATTTGGGGAATACGTTTAACTCATAATAGAGCACGTTTTGACCATATTTGTACTTTCAACCTACTCTTCTAAACTACTAAACGTAAACCAATAAATGGTATTAATACTTATTCCAATCGGTTCGGTAGTTTTAAAACAATGGCCCATAATATGTAAAAAGGGATTTTTTTTTAGACAAAATGTGAACCAAAAATTCATTCAATATCTGTGAAGAGTCGCAGAAAAATTCTTTTTTACCGTCTACAGTATGTCCCCGGATCGAGTTACAAAGAGGAAAAAAATTTTTGTTACTGATTTTTCAAACTTATTTCAGCATAAATAATACGTCTCGGAAGTAGCCTACAACTTTGTTATTTTAAACGGCAAAATGTTCCATTTTTTATTGGATATTTGAATTGAAAAACAATTTTGTTTAATCAAAAATTACAATCCAAAATTCACTCGCAAAAAGAGAACCACAAAAATTCCGTTTTATTTTTTACATACAGTTTGTACTTTTACAATAGAAAGATAGTATTTACGACCAAAGCCTATAGAGAAACATCGAAATTATGATCATTGTGATCATTTATGATCATGTGAGTCAAAGTACCAACATCCAGCTTTTCCTATTTCTGTAATTTTTCTCAAAAAGTACGAAATACAGTGATTCATTCAGTTTATTTTGATTGTAACATTTAGGTACACTGTTGGAAATAATTCACGAGCACACCCTGTATAATTTGGTATGGAAGTAGTACTAAAGTAGTGTATACTCTCACATGGAGAGCGGCACAACTCTGCTGGGAGGAGAATCATCAATAGCGACAGTATCCCCCGTGAGCTTCGCGTACCATCGCAACACGACGTAGCATGGAGTCTATAAGTCGCTGTATTGTAGCGAGAGGGATGACCAACCATGCCACCTTAACTCACCTCCATAGCTCCTCAACGTTAGTCGAGGAAGCCGGATAACGTAGAAGTCTTCGACCAGTCATGTCCCAAACATGTTCGATCGGATTCAGATGCGGAAACCGAGCTAGCTATGGAAGCATTCGTATACGGTGCTCTTCCACAAAGGTCTGTACAACACGCCCGATGTGCTGTCGTACGTTGTCGTGCATATAAAGCAGATCTGGGAGCCGCCGACCGTAGGGAAGCACAACGGACCGTAGCACCTCATCTACGTATCGTTGACCCGTCATGGTCTGATAACATGCAGCAGACGTGTACGTCCACCATGTGTAATCGCACCCCATACTATAATGCTCGATTGTCGGTGGATAGGGCGTTCTTGCACACACTGCTCGAGTAGACGATCACCACGGCTCCGACGCACTAAAATTTACGCATCACCGGTGCTCAATTCGAATCTTGATTCGTCGGAAAACAAAATGTCCCTCTACTCGGCAACCTACTAATGCCTAGCGTCGACCCACTCGTGACGTATGCTGCGGTGCTCGGGTGTTACTGGAATCCGCTGTATCACACTTACGCGCGCGCAGCCCACTATCTACCAAATGCTGCCGCCGCCGTACGACGCTAAAGCGTTGAGCACAAGAGCGCGATCCTCGTGTGCTGGGGACACGCAGAGCCGTCCCGGCCGCGGCTGAAGGTACCTATGTCCTACCTCACACCATTCTCGCCATGCGATACACCCTCAATGTGCATACCCACAAACACGCTCAAACTCGCGTAAGTAACGCAATCGCCCATCCATTGCGTACAGAGTACGATAACAATGTGGTCCCTCACACCACACTAAAAACGACCGGTATTTTCCATCTACTTTGGTCTCCATAGCGACGGAATGTTCCACTTGGAAGGGCGGCTCAGTCAACAGTACCGCGACGGAACTACTCGAATCTCCCTGAATAAACTCATCTATAGTAAACCTTTGTGCTCCGAAAATATTATGGATTTATCTTCACGCGTACAGATTATATAGGGTGTGCTCGTGACTTATTTCCAACAGTGTATTAGTAGTATAGCTAGGAGCGTCCTGGACCAAAATCCCATAAGATTTAACATTGAGGTCCAAAAGTACTTTTTATCCCCACCACTACCTCCTTTCGAGGTTCTAGCCACGCCCACATTTTAAATTCAACCAATCAGAGCATAGCATTTCCAAGAACCCACTTTTGGCGGGAAATTTGAATGAGACTATCTAGATCGATGGGCCTTATCACGATGACGTCATAATCGATACATCGAGCTTACCAGCTGGGTGCTAGGGTGCGGGGTGCGGGCGGATAGAGTGCAGGGTGCAGGGTTGCTTAATCAGAGCATAGCATTCTCTAAGAACCCTCTTTTAGGCTGGGAATTTGAATGAGGCTGCTGCCTTATCACGATGACATCATCGTCGATACATGGAGGCTATGATGCATTCGGACACGAAGCGTTTGGCTTGGAGGTTATAAAATGGTGAATATCTCGTTATCGATGCTTCAAATCGTAAAATAAACCGAAAAATTCCCCCCTACAATGCCCGCCGCCTATAACAAGCACGAACAACATGGCACGGGTGAAACCTGCCAAAAGGGCTGTTGTATTATGTAGTCTGCCTTACCGAGAGAGAGATGGATACGCAATGGCGTACAAGCGGTCTCTGATTGTAAGTATTCTTACAATCAGAGCTTATTATCTTGTTATTAAGGTAGAACTGGGTTATTTCAAATATATTATTTTAAACAATCTACAAGTGATTGATTTATAACATAGTGTCAGGTGTGTAGAATAAACAAGATTAGGTTAAATCTAAGAGTTTAAGAAGAAAGATAAAGCAAAAAAAAAGGCAAGATGTCGACCTCACTGGAGATATTTCTTGAAGCTCAAATGAACAATATGAAATTTATATCTGACCAATTACAAATGGTACAAGATCGGTTGAAAAATGAAGAAAAAATACATCGAGTGTTTCATGGCCCAAACCATTACAAATTGAGTCAGGGGACTTACGACAGAATTATTTCAATCGAATTGGGAGGCTTATGAAATAGCTACTGGAATGGATAAATGGGACGAATCTCGAAATATCCAAAAGGTAAACATTCTTTTATCCGTAATTGGTGATGTAGCGAAGATTAAATACAATAATTTTGTTTTAACGGAAGAGGATAAAAAGAAAACTGATAAAAGATCATCCATTGTATGAAAAATGGTTATTTCACAATTACGTACAATTGCAGGGTGAGAATTTTGATTCTTATTTACTTAGATTAAAACGAATTTTAGATAATTGTGAATATGAGAAAATCGGAAGAAAAAATATAAAAGATTCGATGTTATGGGATCAAATCGCATTCGGTATAATAGATGCGGATTTAAAGAAAAGATTTCTAAGAAAAAAACTAGATAAGTTAAATTTACAAGATGTTATTGGTCAATGTAAAGTTCAAGAAATAACGGAAAACAAATTTAAAAATCTAATCTCAGAAGAAAAACATGTAAATAAAATTGATAGAGAGTCAAAATTAAAACAATGTAAGTATTGTGGAAGAAAACATTTTCGATAAAAATATTTGTCCAGCAAGAAATCCCTTATGCAATTACTGTAAAGTTAAAGGACATTTTGAAAAATGTTGTTTTAAGAAAAGTAAGAAAATGAATTCAAGAGATAAAAAAGAGAAAAAAGTGAAAGAATTAAAAAATAATTCAGAGTCTGAGGAAGAGGAAACTGAGGATATTCATCAAATTTCCAAAGTAACCGATAATAGCAAATTTGATGGTTCTGTCACAACAGAGCTAAATTTAAAATTCCTGAATTGGAAAAAAGTCAAATGTGAATTGGACACTGGAGCTACGGTATGCTTAATAGTATTCTTACAATCAGAGCTTGTTATCTTGTTATTAAGGTAGAACTGGGTTATTTCAAATATATTATTTTAAACAATACAAGTTGTTAGATTTTATATTATATTGGTCAATATATATTAGATTTGATAGATTTATATTATATTAGTTCGTTCATGTTAGATTTATTTGTATCGCCTCATTTGTTTAGTCTGGATTTGAAGTGTTTCGAGTCGCAAGATTTTTTAACGCATTATCTATTTGGTTGAGTTAAGTGTGGGAATGCGTTCGGGTGTATATTTAAGTGTTTAGGTAAGGGTTTTTTAGTTATGACCTTAAATAACGAAGGAGCCTGCGAGCTCAATCCGTATCAGTCATTCAGTCAGTCTTCGATTTAACACCCACCGAAACAGTACCCCTTCAATTCACGCGGAGCAATTCTCCCTATATAACTTTCGCTATATAACTAATCGCAATTTATATGTATTAAGTTTAAGTGTAATTAATAATAAAGTTTATGGAAACGTAAAACCAAGATTTTGTTGTTAACCAGCGCCCACCAGATAAAAATAAATAATCATAAATGGTCCTTCGAGCCGGATTGGGAAAATATAAGAAGACTTAAGTGTCTTCGGTTCCTTGATGCGGCGTGTAAAATCAAATTAAATTAAATTCGACAACGTTGTCCCGCCAGTTACGCAGCTCTTTGAAGAACATTCGCCAGGAGTGTTCGAAGACCGAATTTCTACTTCATGCAACTCCCAACAAATTCGAGATAGAAGAAATTCGTCCATCACATACTGGAAGCGACCAACGTCATTGAAACAAGTACCATAAGTCCCTTTTCTTTTTCCTTTATCGTTCTCAATCTGAAACTTGTCAATCGTGATCATGAGTCAGTCAGACTCACGAATTTTGCGAAATTCGTAATAAAATTTGAATCAAATATCAGAGAAAGCGGTATTAATCAGGAACTTTCGTTAGACTTAGAACAAAGATACAATCGGGCTATTAATCTTATCGATGAGTTCGAGGAAATTCAGAGTGAAATAGATTTGTTAAGCGTTGATGGCGAGTCACAAAACGCGGAGAGGGAGGCATTCATAGCGAGTTTTTACGCAAATACGGCTAAAGCTAAACGAATGTTAACAAATAGAAATATATGCGCCGATTCGTCGTTCATTGTAGGACCTTCCCCGGATCAACATGTAAAGCTACCGGTTATAGATTTACCAAAGATTGACGGTGGTTACGACGCATGGCTAGGGTTTAGAGACATTTTCGAATCGTTAATTCATAACAATACAATGATAAATGACATCAAAAAATTTCATTACTTACTGTCGGCACTGACCGGTAATGCTCGTCAGGTTATCGAAAGCTTAGAATTGACAAATTTTAACTATGAAGTCGCTTGGGGGTTGATTCGCGAGCGTTATGATAACCCGCGGATATTAATTCATAATCACGTTAAGGCATTGTTCGAAATTGAAGGGGTTTCGGGTGATAATCCACAGCCGATTCGAAGTTTTATTGACGACTTTCGTAAACATCTGCGCGCGTTAGCTGCATTAAATGAACCTACGGATAATTGGGACACGCTACTTATTTATTTAGCCGTGTCGAAATTGGACGCTGATTCCAATCGGGAGTGGGAAAGGAAAAAGTCCGGTTTAAAGAAAGCGAATTTAGAAAATTTGTTAGGGTTTTTGAAAGAACGCGCTGATTTATTGGAAACTTTGGAAAACGGTTCGGGTAAGCGAGTAACAGATAAATCAAAACCGAAATCAAAAATGTTTTTGGTTGCTGATTCGGGTGTTAAGCGTTGTGTAAACTGCAATGGGGAACATTACATACAGGAATGTTCAAATTCCATTAAACTTACGGTCCAGGGCCGTAGAGACCGGGTCAAACAATTAAAGGTGTGTATGAATTGTCTTCGGTCGGGACATTTTGTTAAACAATGCCGTTCGAGCTCTTGTAAACGGTGCAATTCGCGTCATCATACCGTACTTCATTTAACGCACGATCGCTCAGACTCACCGCCACAACCAACGACATCCACCCAAGCACACAGTCTAAATTTCGCACAGCATGCAAATCATTCAAACATCTTACTCTCCACCGTAACTATTCACGCATTCGACAGACATAACAAAAAACATTCATTACGAGCACTCTTGGATCCGGGCAGTCAAAGTAGTTTTCTTTCGGTAGAAGCTTGCAAGCGGTTAAGATTGTCTAGAACAGCAACAAACGTTAATGTAGCAACAATAAATCAAACACAGTCAACAATAACGCGTTCTTGCTCATTGGGAATACATTCACACTGTACGGATTTTTCACTTAAGGTTAATGGCTTGGTTATAGCAACTATCGCGAATGATTTACCCAATTTTGAAATAAACGCAAACACGTTAAAAATACCTACACATTCTTTTGGCGGATCCATTGTTCAATAAGTCCGATCAAATAGATATGCTCATCGGGGCTGATTATTTTTGGAATTTGTTGTGCGTCGGGCAAATCAAACTTTCAATAGGCCCTATTGGCCCTATCATGCAGAATACTCGTTTGGGGTGGATCGCTTCGGGGCCGATACAAGCGGGCGCGGCACATTCGGTACGGTGCAATTTAATCTGTAAAGATGACAATTCCGTACTAAATAAGCAGTTGGTGCGGTTTCGAGAAGTCGAGGAGATTGAAGGGTTAGTTCACTCATCGAATAATGAAACATTTTGCGAAAATCATTTTTATAAAACCACTAAACATGCAGAAGACGGACGATTCATTGTTTCGACACCGCTAAAGAAAGGTTTAGATTGGTTGGGCGAATCGTATAAAACCGCGGAAAATAGTTTGATGGGTATCGAGCGGAAATGCAAACGAAATCATGAATTCGGTGAGCAATATCATGCATTTATGCGAGAGTATTTGGAGTTAGGTCAATTGAGAAAGATTGTTGATACACGCGAGGGTTATTACATATCACACGGCGTGTTAAATGAAAATAGTGCCATCACAAGGGTCGTTTTCGATGCATCATGTCCCACGTCAATGGGATATTCGCTTAATGATTGTAAGGTAGTGGGACCTATATTACAGCCTGACTTGTTCAGTGCCTTAATACGGTTTCGGAAATACGCGTACGTAGCTACCGCGGATATACAAAAAATGTACCGTGCCTGTTTAAACAATCCTGAGCAGACGAAATTTCAGCGCATATCATTGCACGATTCTGATGATTTACCTGTCGATACAAACGAATCGTTACCAGAAGTGAAAAAACTGTTCTCAGCGGTTGCGACGACAGATGATCATATTTTATCCTTTTCTCGATTTTCATCGTTAATCCGTTTACAGCGTGTGATCGCGTGTGTATTTCGATTTGGTCACAATTGTTATACTAGACTCCTTCGCTGAGGAGATAAAGGCGTTAAAGAGTAATAAAGATATTCAAAAAAATAGTAAATTAGCGAAATTAAACGTATTTCTGGGGAAAAATGACATTATGCGGGTTGGCGGTAGATTAGGAAATTCGGATTACGAGTTCGATAAGAAATTTCCCATGGTGATTTCTTGTAAACATGCGTTCGCAAGATTGCTATTTGAGATGGAACATAGACAGCTATTACATGTTGGTCCGCAGCATTTGTTGGCTTGCATTCGCGATCGGTTTTGGCCAATTGGGGGGCGTAATTTAGCCAAGTCGATAGTCCATAACTGTATACGTTGCTACAAGGCAAATCCGCGCGCCAAGCAACCGATAATGGGGAACTTGCCGCGTGAGCGAGTAACACCGGCGCCGCCCTTTTATACTACGGGCGTAGATTACGCGGGACCGTTCCTTCAAGGACAAAAAAGGGCGAAAAAAGCTTTTAAGTTTTTTTTCGTCGAAACTAGATTAAATAAATGCATCGAGGTTTATGGAAGGCATTTCGCACATTAGTGAGGTATTTTTGCCAAAAATTTAAGTTATTCTAAGTGTTTTGGTTTATTTTGTTTTATTATCATTGTTGATGTTTCATTGATTCGTTAGCTTTTAAACACGCCCCAAAAGTAGTTTTGAAGCAGTTCTAAGCTTGGATAAAGTGTGAAGGAAGGGTCTAGGTAATAAAATTTTTGTGCTCTCTTATTTGTTTCCTAAGGTAACTTGATTCGATTAAGATATACGAATTTTTAACATTTTCTTCTATAATTCGAGAATGGATAGAGATATCGAGATGCGGTTTTCACTAATATTTAGTAAATTTTATAGTGATTAAGGGTCTGTCAAGAAAACAGTACCGTACCATTTAACTTTTTTTCAAAAATCACAAAAATATGTAACCGCTGCAGATAACGCCCTCTAGAAAAAGAGTTGATCAAGGGTGATGGTCTCCTAAATTTTCACAGATCTTTTTAACCTTTTGGTGGATTTAATACATTACTACCTCATTTGATGTGGAATTTAATTCTAAAGCTTTTTTTACTCTTATTATTTTTTAAAAAACATTGTCGTTTTCATAAAAAACTCAAATAACTAAAGACACGTATTTCGTTAATGCTACTTAAAATCATCGAAAATTCAGTAGTCGGCTGTGAAATTGTACGTCAAACTTGACAAATAGGTTATACAACCTTGTCGTCAAATAGCTTTATAACCTATTTGTCAAGTTTGACGTACAATTTCATAGCCGACTACTGAATTTTCGCTTATTTCAAGTAATTTTACGAAGTTTTAAGTCTTTAGTTATTTAAGTTTTTTATGAAAACGACAAAGTTTTTTAAAAAATAATAAGAGTAAGAAAAGTTTTAGAATGAAATTTCACATGAGATGAAGTAGTAATTTATTAAATTCGCCAAAAGGTTAAAAAAATCTGTCAAAATTTAGGGTACCATTACCCTTAATCAACCCTTTGAAATGCTTCAATTGAGTTCAATTTGCTACCAATTAATACCCTTGGTACACTCATAACGTATACCAAATTTGGTTTTTCTAGCTACGTGGTTAAGGGGGCAGGGGGTGAGGTGCGGGGTGAGGGGTGTTGAAACTTCATCGAAGCCTTGATACATCCGGACACAAACCGTTTGTCTTGGAGGTTATAAAATGGTAAATATCTCGTTAACGATACTTCAAATCGAAAAATAAACCAAACAATTCTCCCCTACAACCACCTGTCGCCTATAACAAGCACGAACAACATGCCACGGGTGAAAACTGTCAAAACAGACTTATTTAGTTATCGAGCTGATGTTCTCATTCCACCAGATCGTGATATAGGTATACACGATAGGATGATTTATAACATACATTTTAGATAATTTGTGTTATAATAACTATGCGTTTCATAATCAGGTAGATCAAAGATAGGTTGTGAATAAATTTTAACAGGCTGCTTTAACCGATCTGTTTATCTGCTATTTTTATTATTTCAACAAATCTGAAGTAGTTAAACTTTAAAGTAATTTTTCTCGAAAATTTTCTTATGTAACCAATATTAATATTGACTGTACTAGATTCAGAAAAAAATCCTCTTTCATATTAGCTAATAAAAATGGGGGATTGTCATTAAAAAAAATATCGATGACGTCATAACTCGTTTAAAAATGGCGGAAGAAATTTAAAATCTATACCAGACAATTGCAAAAAATTTAAATCTTTAGACCCGTTTCAGGGATTTTTCCATAAACCGTTTATAATAATTTTATCGCCTATATCCGTTACTTTACGGACACACTGTATAAGAAAAAGAAGAAGAATTGTGGCGTTGATAAATAATAAAAATTAAACTATCTTACAAATGTCCTTTCTATTGGACCAGTACTACACACTTCTGCGGTTTCGATACGAGTTGGTACTTGTTCGAATATATCGTTACAACACGCGGGCGGTATACCTGGTGTTCAGAAACTCAACGTCAAGCGGGCACCGGGTAAGAGGCCAACCCATACCTGTTCTGGTAAAAATAAGAAAAAACTCCATGTCTCTTAGTTATGTGGTAATAGACATACTTTTGAAAATGTTAAAAAACGTTCCCATACATCATATCTTTGGGTACTACGATCAGAAATATTCGCAATTTAATACTGATTTTTTTAACAATGCATTCCTTATGAATCATGCTACTATAGAAGTCACAAATCAAACAACAAAAATCATTAGTTTTGCAAAACAAAAAATATTAGTTTGATTGAGTTAAGGTTGAAAGAATTACACTTAGTACAACACCCTTGGCAAGTTATTTTAAAGATGGCTTGTTTAGTCAAGATTCCAAAATTGTATAACACTTGCCAGTTTTCTTTTCATAAAAAATATTATTGCCTGTTTTTCTGCAAAAACCGTGTTATTTAAAAAATTTATACCTTCGTATATTATTTGTATTTCCTCCAAAATAATTTAACAACCACTTAGAAGATGTTCATTATGATGCTCGTCAAGTACCTCGAAGTATCGCGAATTATTGGAGATGTACACTAATTTGTTTTTCCGGCGACTGTGTATTTATATGATTTATAAATATACAGGGTGATTTATAACATACGGAGCAGACTAAAAGGGTAGGTACTAGGAGCCAAATTGAAGATATTTTTCTAATAAAATTTTGACCACAACTTAATAATCACAAAGATATAGAACGTTAAAGTTGAAGTAATGGCCGAACATTTCTTACCATATACGGTATTACACTACGCTTAAATTCAAACTGCGAATATTTCGGGGTTACTTAAACAATGCATAATTAATAAAAATAATAAAATCTTTATAACATAGCAGTTACGGCTATTTAAAAATTTGTTAAAATGCTCAAACGGTGGTGTTTGTTTATTGAGAACCGCTGATACCATGTTTTTATTGCTGCCAATCCAGTTGATTTGGTTACTTAGCAACGGACAAGTATTTTAATTATTCTTTACTGAATATCAGCGGTTTTCAAAAATGGACGTTCAATTATTTAAAAAATTAACATGCGATATCTATGTAACTATTAAGTTTTTAACAAAACATTATTAAGAAAATCTCTTCAGTTTTACCTCCACTACCTACTCTTTTAGTCTGCTCCGTATGTTATAAATCGGAGCTATTAATAAATGATTTTCTATTAATAAACGATTTTAAGAAAGTCCGACCGAACTAATATAGTAGTCAATTTTTCTCCAATGAAATTTGTAATACCGACCCAACCGACCACGATATCAATTCGGTAAGACTACAATATTAAGTTTTGACTTTTGACACATTAAAAGTGAGGTTTTTATTTTGCCAGTGATAGAATTGGGAGATTTTTCAACGATGGACAGTCAACGGAAAAATATTGTAACTAACTCGTATATTAAAATGCGATTAATTATCTCAATAATTAAAATATCTCGATAATTAATCGCCTTCATTAATAGACTTGTTGGTTAAATAACTATTATTTTGTATGTAGATTTAATTTACGGTAATAATTCGAGTTAGTTGACGATCTCGGATATCTAGATTAATGTTATTGGTTAAATTTTCTTAATAAACAATTTTTACATTTTTTTCAAAAATTTTCTGATGTAAGGATACATTGCTATTTAAAAAAATTATCAAATTATGTGTTATTCGTTACTGATTTGTTTTCTGAATTAAAAATAATTGAATGCAGTCTTACGGCTGGTTTAGGTTATCAAATGTAACCGTAACCGTAGCAATAGTTGTAACCGTAACAGTAAGGAACTTAGCGCTTACAGCTGACCTGTTTAGGAAGCAACTTTAAGATTTTAAAATTTAAATATGTAGTCAATAAAATAACGAGAAAAGTACGGAACTTTTAAAAGTAAAAGTGTGTGGTGAATACTCTGTTCACCACTTGCAACGCTACTGCAACGTGTTTCATTACTTGCAACGCGTAGTGAAACACCAGCCCGTGATGTCAACATGTAAACACGAAACAGCTGTCCATGTTTAACATTGACCCTTCGCATTAGTGCGCATGCTCAAATTTTGTCCTAAACGTAAGAAGTAATTAAAAGTTGGTCAACTTTAGGTGTTAGGGCTACATCGGCCGTAGCCCACCGTAGCCTTAAGCGGTTCCCTAAACGGTGTTATTGAAACACATTGGATTATTTATTATATTTATTATGGCAAATAAAATAGTAAACAAGTTTTTTTATAAAGTCAATATTTACCGAGATATATACTATATTCCACACATAAGCAGTATATAACCTGTATATAAGACCTCAATGGATAAAGTTCATCTAAATTATTGGTTATTTGATACATTTCCAAGCAATCCCATCAAAATGAGAAAACCATGATATGTATTTTTAAATTACTTTATTTTAGGATCTCAATCGTTAAATTTCACAAGCAATATTAAAGTATAGAATTTATTCAAAAATGAATACGTTAACACGTTTTTAAACACATCTAAAATTAACAACTTATATTCTAAAATTTCGAGTAGATG